ACAACCTGAAGATTCTTTTCTAAAGACAGTGAGAGCTTGGTATGTAAGCTTTAATAAATCCATCTGGATTAAAACAAGCTCCCAGCAATGGTATTTAAAATTCAGATGTTATCACTTCATGGTTTTGAAGAAAACATCATGGAATCAATGTATATACCACAGGTCAGTGGGAGTATAAGATTTTGTTTCTTGTTTTAATGTGGATGACATTTTGCTTTGCAACCAACGGACAGGGTATGTTATATGAAGTGAAACAATTTCTCTCAACTAACTTGGACAGAAGGATTATGGGAGAGCGACCTCTATGTCATCGGCAAAGATTCATGGGAAAGATCTCGAGGCATTTTGGGTTGTCTCAAGAGACCTATATAACAAAGTTTTAGAGAGGTTAATATGAAGAATTGTTCACAAGTGTAGCTCCCATTGTAAGGGTGACAACTGAATTAAGTCAATGTCAGAAAAATGATCTTGAGCGGGAACAGATGAAAAATATTCCATATGCTTCAGCTGTCGGAAGTCTTAGTATGCTCAAGTTTGTCCTTAGACCATGACATTGACATTGCAGTTGGAGTTTTAGGAAGATATCATAGTAATCTAGGTGTTAACCACTGGGAAACTGCAAAGAAAGTAAATGAGATATCTTCAGGAACAAAAGATTCATGCTCAGTGTAAAGAACTGCTAAGTTAGAAGTGATGGCTACTCCATTCAAGACTATGCGGCCTGCGTGATTCACGAAAATCAACGTCTGGTTACATTTTATGTTAGCTGATGGAGCAGTATCTTGGAGTAGCAAAAAGCAGCTTGACTTCTACCTTCTACTTGGAATGAATCGTTTCTGTTTTGAGGCTTCTTCACATGGTGTAGGTGAAGAGTTTTATATCTGGGCTTAGGTTGTGGACTCCTATGCTTGGCCAGTGAAAGTTGTATGTGGATAACTCTGCTGCTGTTTCATGGCTAAGAATAATAAAAGTGATAGTCGAAGTAAGCCATCGACATTTAAAATCTGGGCATAAGAGAACGTGTAAAGAAAAGAAAGTGGTTATTGAACACGTTAGCACTGAGTGATGATTGCGTGAATCCTTAAATAAAGGCATGCCACCAAAAGAATTTGTAAGGATTCATGTACGCAGAATGGGACTTGTTCATGATGTGACCAATCATTGTAAGGACTTTCATTTGATAAAACTCTTTTCAGTTTAATGTTTTCTCCAATTATATTGTGCACATATTTGGTTACTTTGAGAAAACTCATTTAATTGTGACCTAGAATAGACAATGGTTTATTTCATTAAGTTAAAGAGATTGCGATGTGAGGACTCAAATACATCGAATACATGGGAGATAAACGTACTATATAGGGAACTATAACATGATTCATATATTTGGTCTCTTATTAGGTGTTGATGGTTGAATAAAATGGGACCAAGTGGAGAATGTTAGCTTATACAAAGAGAGCGTTACATTTTAATATCGATATATATAATATTATATCTTTTACATTATTTTATTCCTTTCAGTTTAAGTATTATAAAGAGTTAATATATATTTGAAAGTGCGTCAGTTATTTTAAGATAAAAAAACGTTTTAAAAAACGTGCCATGATTTCTCTACCACAATCTTTTTTAACGTTAATACTCTGTGATGGTTTTTGGAGTAATACAGACTCTTCAGGAAAGTTCATATCAGGTCACTGAGCCTACTCTTTCCTTCAATATACATCACCATGTGTTTAGAGCAAGGGTTCAGAAACCAGAATAGGCAAGCGTACAACACATGGTGGAGGTTGGTTCTTTTCTGCTTCGCTTTTAATTATCTGTGTAAATCTGAATATGATTAAATGTGCTTGTTTGATATATTTAGATTTATTGAATCTTCAGTATGAATCTGTTACAAATTTTTACAAGTTATTTTTATGTGAAAAATCACACCAATTTTTTTTCATTTTTATAGGTTTGAAACACACTATATTCATGCATCATGTGTTTGGGATGAGAAATTTGACACATGATCTTCTTGGGTCCAAAATGAATACCTAAGATTCATGCATTTGATATGGAACAATAATCAACACAATATTGAATTTGAAAAGGAACAAACACAATATACATACGGGATGAGAAATCTAAACTCAATCCATCATTTTGAATTAACTACACGTATTCGCAATCCATCAAGTGTCAATTTCTGATTTGGGCTGGCCGAGTTAGGTTAACATTCTGCTAACTAAATCAAGGGTGTTGCTCCCTCCACCTCCACAGCCTTCTCCCTCCACCTCCCCTGTTCACTTTTATTTTGCCCCTTCCTCCACACTTCCTTTACTATTTTGCACCTCAGTAAAATTTTATTTTTAAAATTATTGATTTTTTTAATTTTACTACTCATTTATAACATATTTCACTGATAACCTACGTAGTTCCTTGTATGACTAAAATATTTTTCTGCAAAGCTTGGTGATCGTGAAAAGAATTATCAAGCAATCTTCCTCTTGTTCTCGGTGCAGTACGTGGTGCAGTGCGTTTGTGGTGTAGTGTCCTTGTCGTGGTTCCTCTCCAGGTATGTAGTCATAATCCTTCCAATAATCCTAAACCCTTCCCATAATGCTTCCAATAATCCTTTTAATATGCAAGCCTATAATCCTTCGCATGAGCCCCCAAAACGTAGTAAAATAAAAACGAAACGTAAAAGGAACACTAAGCCTGAATGGATGACATCCTTCAACGGATGTCAACATCCGTTTAAGGCAAAACGGATGTTGACATCCGTTTCGCCTTAAACGGATGTTGACATCCGTTGAAGGATGTCATCCGTTCAGGCTTAGTGTTCCTTTTACGGATCTCCCACATTCGTTTCGGCCTTTCGCGGACACTGTTGAAACGCGACAAGCACCAAGGCAGAAAGCACCGAAAACAAACCTGGACCACGCCGCACGCCGCAGATCCGCTCCTCTCCCAGCTGAACGACCTCCACCGCACCAACGGCTGCTCCACAAACGCTCTTCCGGAAAATGAAGAAGAAAGAAATGGAGAAAGAGAAGTGAAAGGTTGATGAGGCTTGACGGAAGAGAAAATGATAAACGGAAATGGAGAAAAAGCTTGACGGAAGAGAGAATGGTAAATGGAAATGGAAGAGAGGAAGAGGTGCAGGGAAGTAAAGCAGAGATTTTAAATAAATTAAAATATTAAAATAATAAAAGTAAAAAATTTTAACTTTTGAGGATATAATTGGCATTTTAGAAAATTGGGGAGGTGGAGGAAGAGACCTGTGGTGGTGGAGGGAGTAACACCCCTAAATCAATTACTATTGGCCAACCAGTAAGATCATTGGTTTTTCTCTATATAATAATAAAAAATTAAAATTATCAAAGCAATTTTTTTATAACAAGTCAATAAAATAATTTTAATCCCTATAAAAAAAGATAAAAATAATGATAGCTTTAATAAATTAGATTAATAGAAGAAATACATACACTAAACCAACATTTTTTATTGTTTAAACAAGATATAAAACTTATCATTTTATTATAATTTTTACTATATAATCATATCTATATATTGGTTTTTTAATGTACAGCTTCATAATTTAAAATCTATGAATATGTACAGTAATAACTATGTAAATGTGAGAATAGAATGATTAAAAATATATTGATTTAAAAAGTATCTAACCTATGGAAAGAAAGAAGTAGTAGAAAGATGGTTAGTGGTGAGACAAATGTGTGAAAAATGAGGTAAAGTAATTTACTTAGAAAAAAAGGACATCCCTATAAGATTGGTGGCACAAATTAAACGTAAAGTTAGCAATCATGAGGGCTTTTTCTATTCTCCTTCAGCATAATTCTTCTTCACTTCCACTCATTCCAACAAACACATGTACAAATGCCAAAAAGAACAGATTTACTTATGTAATTGATTTTAGCCAACGTATCGAGTTGGGGTGGTGGAAAACTGCCAACCCACGTTAAAAAATGGGTGCATGTTCCAAGTCCCAATCATCCATGCGTCGGATCAACGTTTAACCACTCTTTTATCTATTCCATCACTCACCCATAAAAAAAAATAATAGAAAGAATAAAAACTTATTCTCAACTGTTATCATCACGCAAACCAAGAAAAAGAGACACCCAATACAATAATATTTTAGGGTAAAATGAGGCGAATAACTTTATTGGTTGACACAGCATTTGTGGCATACGAAGGACATAATTTCAGTCTGAATACTTCATGACAGATAAAGAATTTTGCACAAGCTATACCAGGCTATAGAAAGCTCGTAATATTATATAATTGTATATGGCATGCTTAAGTTTTGTCAATAATGTTGGCGAAGCATTTGAAGGAAGGCCAGGCATATCATATTGAGTTGGAAGTAGACTTGATTTTCCTTTGTTAAAGGAGACGTTTCACCCTTCTTTTCCTTGAATTGATCTTCACATGTTTCAGAGTTATCCAAGGAAGCACTCAGCTTTATAGCAGCAGTGTCAAAATCCTTCTGCTTGAAAGCAACCACAGCATCATCTAAGTCCGAAAGGGAATCCGAGTAAAGATCAAAGCAATCTCGTAAGCAAGCCTTTACGTATTGATCATAACTTTTATCCTTCAGGAGCTTTGAAATGATGGAAACCATGTTGCTTGCGTTGGACTTGGTAAGTTGAGTTGACATGCACACAAGACCTTCGAGGTTGGTCGGTGGTGGTTGCAACTTGGAGGAGGCATCTTCAAGGGATTCAACACAGAAACCATACTTCAAATTTGGGTCGTTCTTCGATGCCTCCTTGCAAGATTGAGAGATAAGATTAGAACTACTGGAGCTTTGGAACAGAAAGAGAAAGATAAAGAATATCAGTAAGTACGAAGAGAATTTCATTCTTGGCTTCTTCTTTTCTTTCTTACGATCGAGTATGTCTCTGAAAAAATGAGATTTAATTTATTCTACACATCACTTTGTACTATATATATATATATATATATATATATATATATATATATATATATATATATATATATTGAAAAAGAGATGAGAAAAGATATATGAATCTCAAATTTTAAAATTTCAATAATAGATAAATATATTTTTATATCTATGTAAAAAAGTTATAGAAAAATTGAAAGATTTTTAGAAATTAACTTAAATAAAAGATATTAAACAAAAATGTTCTATATGTAGAACCAAATATAATATAATATTAAATATTTGCATTATCTTAATTTTAATATTCTAAATTTGAATAATAAATAATATATTTTATTTTCATATAAAATAATATCAATTTTTTTTAAACTAAATAAAATAAAAAATATTACTGAATATATATAGAATATATATATTATCCAGTTAGGTGTTCGTGTTGCAGCAGGAATCTGATGCTACACGCTGATTAATATGAAAGAAAACTTTGTGGGAAGGCAACCCTGATTAATAATGAAGGTGGAAAGCTAGGTTGAAACTAACATTATATGTTGCTTTCTATATTAATATCTGTTTTGATTGAGTTCGTGTTGGTAATCTTCTCATAATCATCATACTATATAAGTCACAGGAAAAAAAATCACAAATATAATTACTTTTATATTTGTGAACCTCATTTGTGAAACAGTTGCCATACTCAAACCTTCCAAAGACTCTTGTTAAATATGATTCAATTAAGTCTAATATCTGAAACATAATTAGTAAAGGTAAATATCAGTTTCTAATATTAGGGTGATCCCTTGCATTCGCCATAAGAAAACCTTGATATAGAAATCTTATCCAGTTTCTCGCAAGTTGATTCTTATCTATATGATCGGATCATCAACAAATAATAGAATTTTTTACTTTCTTTCTTTTTAGAAAATTACAACTATTTTATCCTTGATGTATCATTCTATCATTATTCACAGAACAATCACAACAAATCTATACTTGATCAATCACACTGTCATTTAAGCGTTCATTCGTAAATGTATGATCTCATAACTTGTAGAGCCACATGCACCACCTCTACCAACCTCTCAATTGAGTCTTGATCATATGATTTATCAACTTCTACAATTTAATGCGTCAATATCATTCACCAATACTTACACATGACTTCTCATAACTTGAGCATCACTTGTTCCATAGGAGGGACAACTACGTAACCTTACTCAATTCTAAAATTTCATCGAGTTATCATTGTCTTTGTTTTGCTAACTTCTCTTATATTCTATCAATACAACAAAGCTATCCTAATTATCTATCTATCCTAGAAAAAACATTAAAAATGGAATTTTAGAAAAATAATTAATGAAATAAAAAAAATTAAACGTCATAACTCATATATAAATTTCTGTTACTTATTTGTTTAAAATTCGTCTTTATTAAAATGATAGATCTTACATTATTAATATATATTAACTAATTTTACAATGTATGGGAAGTAGAGATACTTGTGCCGTTGTCGGAAACTTTGAGAGAGTAGACCACGAAAACCGAAAACTCACATAAAAATATCTAAAAGATAACTATGTTTTTAGGCACATGCAAAAAATTCAGGTTTTTGTGGTTCCATTTTAATTATAAAATATTAAAAGGAATGAAAAAAACTATTAAAAAGAACATATAAAAGGTCATATTGTGATGTATCAAGTTGCAAGCCGTAGTTTAGTTTGTTGCTTCACGTCTTCACGCTTAACAAAATAAACCAATCACCACATAAAAGCAGGCAGTCTGAAGCTGCTAGCATCCAAAAATGGAACTGCCTAATTCAAAAGAGTTATTATGTTTACATAGATAAATGCTAAACTAATTAATACGTGGTTCAGATTTACGTGAACAGATGCGTTTATCATGATAAATAGTCAAATGATTGATGTTGTAAAGATTATTTTTTTTAAGAATAATTTTAAAATCATAAATATGTTAATTGTTAAAATTCCAAACTGTTTGAAAATATATATTAAAGTTTTAATTATTTATTTTTTATAAATAATTCATTTTATGTTATCTCGAGACGCTATACAATAATCATACATGAGAACCAAACCAAATACAATAAGGAGAAAAACAAATATAAAAACTTTAGAACCAAACCAAATCCATATCAGAATAAAAAATTAATACTTTCACAGAGGAATTAAAAAAAAATATTGAGAAGTTGTACCTATCATAGAAAAAAAAAACTTTATGTAGGGGCAGGAATATGGAGAAGTTCAACTCATTTTGGTCTAATTTGTAATTGATCTATCAAAAATCGATTTAAAAAAAAACCGAGTTGACTCACATTTTTTTTATTTTTTATTTTAAAATTTGTTAGTTTATATATATATATATATATATATATATATATATATATATATATATATATATATATATTCAGAGTATATAATTAACATAAGCACTGCCTAAAGTAAACGAAGATAGTTTATATAATTAACAAATTTCTGATACTTTAAATCTACAAATTTAGAGTGTTACACATGTAACTTTTTTTATTAAGCTATACATAAATTAAATTTACTAAATACATGAACTTATTTCACTTTATTTTAAATTTATTTTTTCTTTTCAAAATATTTGTGATTAAGTTTTATTTTAAACAACATATTTTTAAAGTCAACAAACTTTTTTTTTTCTTTTTTTTTATAAAAGGATATAACACGGAGACTTTTTAAAAGGTTATCTGTCTTAATATTGTTCATTCTCAAATATGTTAAAGAATAGAATTCTAATAGAATTTGGTCCATTACTAATACGATCACACCAAAATCAACATATTCATTATAGTCTATAATCTTTTCTTTTTCTATGTAAATTGCTTTTGGATCAAATATATTTTGTAAAATTAATTTTAAAGTAATTCATGTTTGGTTCTTTAAATTTTGAAGACAATATGGTATTAGAACTCATATTTAAACAATTATTCGAAAGTTACCTAAAGTTGTTTCAATTTAAAATAAAATTCTAAATTCTTATTTAAAGAGAACCTAGTCATCTAAATGTTTATCTGAAATCACATTAGCCGACATTATTTAAAGATGCTTGAAGTGTATGATATCTCAAGAATTTGATAATGACAAATTTATTACATGTATAAGAAGAAACAACTATTAAGCTCAAGGTGTAATAATTCTATGTCTTAGAGATATCCAAAAAGATTTTGAAATTTTATTGTCCGACAAGCCTTTGAAAACCAATAGCATTTGAAGTCTCTTGTAAAAGAGCATCCAATAGGTATAGTATTCATCCAATAGGTATAGTATTCAAAGCTCATGTTTTAAGTGTTACTTTGTTATAGGTTAATAATATATGTTTTCATAATCTATCATATAATCTATATATAAATTTATTTTACTTATATACAGTGTATTCAAAACTTTATTCAAGAAAATTGTATTGTATAGGACCATGATAATCTCAGCTTATAACAAAAAGTATTATGTATAGGTAAAAGTTATGTTGGATCTAGGTATAAAGAGGGAGAGAGCGGGAACGAGTTTCACTATCACATAATCATTCTAAAGAATATATTCATCATCATTTCTATACTCAAATTCAACGAGTATGAAATTTTTGTCTCATCCTCATCCCACTGAGTAAGGTGTGTATACATTCGTATCTGTATCCGTATCCACACCTATTTTTTTACTATCTCAATATCAATTAATTATTTTTTATAAAATAATAAAAAATTCTTAGAAAGAAAATATAACATTATCAAATATTCAATATCAAAATGATATATTATTGTTTATTCAGTATCAAATATTTAAAAGGAAATTATATCGTATGTATTTCAAATTAGAATACCAAATAAAATTTCATGAGACAAACATTTATTAAATTTGCAAAATTAATGGAACAAAGTTGATAAAGTTTAAAATAATTTTAAAAAATTACAAAAAGAAAATAGATAATCAAATTAAAAATATTTTTAATGTCTTTCTACTCCTATATTATTTAAATTCTAATGAAATATTATACTACGTAAATGAAATCACACAAAAAATAAAAATTAAACTAATAATAATTGAAATTCAACATAGATCTTTCATCTTTTAAACTTCGATATGAAATTAAACTAATAATAATAATGTAAATTAAACTAATTGACATTAAATTATTATATTATAGTAAATGATTTTTCTTTATATAATTGACTGATAGAATTACCCTTATGATAATGAATTAAAAAATAAAAATAATTATATAAAAACAACAAAATAGTATTTTGCATGATAAAATGAACAACAAATAAAAATATAAAAAAGAAGTCAAATGTGTTTCTTAGAAGCAATTTGATACACCATTGAATGAAATCACACAAAGAAAAACAAATGTATAATTAAGAGTATGATAAGATAAAAAATACTTTAAATATCTAAATAAACCTTTCATATACCAAACTAGTCAAAGTGTAGAGATGAAAATATTTTAGAAAAACAAAAAGGATTCTTCAAATGAAAGAAAACTTAAGAATAAATTAATAAAGAAGATAATTTTTTATAGGATTAAATGTATTTTTAGTCGCTAAACTTTGACTAGAATTCGTCAATTGTTCGAAAATTTAATGCATTTTGGTTCATAAACTTTAAAAATGAATAGATATAGTCATACCCAATTACGTTTAAATTTTTTTACATGTCAAACATGTTTTATACTAGCATTTGAGATTTTACATCGTTTTCCACGTTCCCACTTCAATGTGAGCTTGAAAACGCATTTGACAGGTCCAAAAAATTTAACATAACTAAGTGAAAAAAACTATATCCATTCATTTCAAAAGTTTAGGGATCAAAATGTATTAGAGTTTTAAACATTGACGAATTCCAATTTGTTTCAAAATTCATGGACTAAAAAATTTAATCTTTTTTTTATATTACCTAGTAAATGAAGAGTTTATATGTTATTGAACACTTAAATTAAGAGTTAATCATTCTCATGTGAAAAAAATAAACAATAAACAAAAA